TTTATTTTGGGAATTATGCTAAATTCTATGAACCCATATTTGTTTCACTAGACCAAGGTAATATTTTTATTTAACTTTGTAACACGCTATTTACATTTTTCAAGCACTTTGCTGAGGATCTTGGTATAATACACTGACTGTTAACTCTTAGCACTATTAATGTAAAATTTGTTAAACCATCATATTGTGATGATGGCAAGCCTTTCATTGTTATGTAAGTCTAGTTGAATATTCTTAATTTGCAGAGTTGCACTTGCATGTAATGCTACCTTGATTAATAAATACTTGACAACATAAATGGTAAAAGCTATATTATTATGGAGACATTAATTTGACAGTCAAATTTTGGCTGTAATGTAGCTCTGTAATTTGAAAATTTAAATAATCTTAAAATCAACGAGACTATATCGTGAATCGTAATATTTCTAGAAAATATCGTGATACATTTTTTTTTTCCATATCGCCCACCCCTAAACTATACAGTTCCTTGATGCACAACAGTGTTGTGGATGGAACAAATTGTGGCCCATGCAGGATACAATTCACCTTTCTACTCACCAAAAAGAGGCATTAAGCAAACTGAGCGGGAAGTAACAAATGAGGAGGAGCACTTACATGGGTTCTGTTGTGGAAAATTGGAGGGTAAAGATTGAGATGTAAGGACAATTATAGCTTGAAACAATAAGGGTTCTCCTGAAATGTTGTGTTTTTATAACCTTTATTGTAAGATTTGATTCCTATAGGCTCTAGTTACTTTATAAGCTTTAGTTACTTTTCAGCTCTTCATTTTCTATGTTACTTTTCATACCCTTATTTTCCTTGCTTTTATTTATTTATATATATTTTTATATATATTACAGCTGTATTGATGATTGGCCAGAACTACTGAGCTTTGGTTACTTTTAATTAGGGATGTCAACGTTAACGCGTTAATGTATGATTAATCAAGATTTCTTTTTAACACATTACTATTTTTTTAACGCAAATTAATCATTTGATAAGTTTTGACCCCAACTTCTTGCCGTCATCGCAGCACAGATGGTTATCTATTGTGTGATAAGGCCGGGTAATGTGACAGCGAACGTGTGTTACAACACGATGGCAGAAAACACAACGCCTGGTGTGCTGAACGGCAAGTTTCATTATAAAAAGCTTCCAGATGGAAGTTTGGATAAAACCAAAGTTGTGTGCATTTATTGTAGTGATGAACTGTCCTTTCACCGAAGTGCAACAAGTTTGAAGTACCATCTTGGAGGATATGTTACCTTAAACTAGTTTGACATGCATTTCTTTATTGCAACACATTTACAGGTAAATCATAGTATTTTAAATTTGTGATTAATCATGATTAATCACAGTCCATCACTGTGATTAACTTGATTAAATTCTTTAATCGATCGATAGCCCTACTTTTAATACATTTATTTTCCTTGCTTATATATGTCTTACAATTGTATGGACTTCAAGTGATACTGAAGTAGAAACTGCCTGCTTTAACTTCTGTGTAGATATAGTATCTGTACCTTCGGGTAACCAGACGGCCTATGTTACATTTTAACAAAGACCTGTTGGCCTGTTTTGCACCTTCACCTAGACCTGCTTAGCATATTCCAAGTTCTGCTTTGTCATGGGGTGTCTTGCAGAGACAGGGGGGCCTGCAGCCCAGACCACCCATTGTTCAGTGTTCATTGATCAAGATCAAGCTGCCACCTGAGAAACACACACACACACACACACCTGGTTTAGATCACATTTCAGCAAGCAGGTGCAGGCAGGGGTTGACCTACTCACACCAAATGGCCAATAGGATTACGAAGTGTGAAATGTTGTACCTCGCACTCACACTCATACACTCAGTGTGTATATGACACGCTGTGAGACCGACTGTACTCACTAGCCCAAGCAGATAAATTCAATGTAAACACGTAACTCATGGTTCAGAGAACGGAATTCCTGCAGGAGCTCTGTCACTCTGATCCCAGCACTGTATGGCTTCACCTGTGCCCAGACTTTGAGTAAACTTCCTGTTGATTTTAAACAGCCCTCTCCAGTCTTCACTTCTCGCGCTTCCAACAAAAGAATTGGGTTAAATCTAACAGTATACATCTAAATGAGCTTGTGCTGCTACCCCCCTTTGCCTACCACACACACATTTCCACTTCTCTGCAGTTGAAGAACCTGGACTAGATTTTATGGATATAAATGTCAGCCAAAACACGGCATCTTCTTTTACAGTGAGTGTGGGCACATTCATCTCTACATACTTCCTCAGATGGCATGAACCACAACTTATGAGTCAAGGAGTGTCCACCTGTGAGTGGGAGAGTTTTTGTTGACACACCACATATTTGCTGATGTGTTTGTGTAGTAATGTGGATCATATGGCTTGTAAAAGCCATAAAGAGTAAATTCATTTGAATGTGGTAATGAATGAGTTGAGGACCGCAGAAGCAGAAAATAACTCCCAAACAACACATGCTTGATCAGAACACACATTGGCAGTTTCCACAGAGAAGCTCTATAGTGAGTACAGTCGGTCTCACAGCGTGTCATATACACACTGAGTGTATGAGTGTGAGTGCGAGTGAAAGAGAAAGAGAAAGGGAGAGAGTGGTAGTTTAAACGATATACCCAGTTTAAGCAAGATTAAGGGCTGAGAACTCGTAATGTTTAAGCTGCGTAGTCAGCTGGCCTACAATTGAACAAGTCACAAGACAAAAGTAAAGCCACGCTGTTCACAAACAAGCTCTTTTCTATTAGCTTTAGTGCAGGGACAACTACAACCCATGGCTTTAAATTGTATTTAAACATTATTCGCATGGAAATAATTACTAAGTTTTACTTACCTTCAGTTGGAAAGGATGTATCTCATTGAGTGAATGTCTTCGTAGCTTCTTCGTCAGCGTCTTGAGCATGTTCTTCTGAGTAGCTGAAGACGTATCCCTTACTATTGGTTTGCTGTTTCTTATGTGACGGTTATGGCTTCATTAACCAACTTTGCATATTTAAAAGAAGGCACACGGGACCATCACTTGACTACAAACTGCCAACCACAAAAAAAACAACACCGTAAGCAGCTGCACACCCTTAGCTCCAAGTTAGCTAGTGTCGAAAAACAAATGATACACCGAAATTCGTTAAATTGCGTAGATGTGGCTTGTTTTCAAAGGGTGTGCGTAGCAAACTTGTTATTTTCGAGTTCTACGCTGCTGTGGAAAGTATTTCTCTTTTCCCCAGGCGGCTCTGAAAGGTGCCTCACTCGCCGTAGCCCTGACTTACTACCAGAGCTTAATTAAAAGATGTTGGGAACATTAAAGATAATATGAACTTGTACGCATACGCATTCATATACAAACAACCAAATGCACACACCAGCAGTGTTCCTCAAGCCTGAGCGTATTGCCCTCTGATTGGCTGCAGTGCTGAGTGATGTCATATTTTTCTCTCGAGGAGGAGACCTGAGAGTTAAAGCCACATTATCCTGTCTGTTTACTTCCTCTTTTCATATCAGTTACCTATGTTCAAAAAACTCCATGTAGTCTGCAGCAGGATCTGGTTAATTTAATTTCCAGCCATTGTAAGCTTATTTAACTCGTGCTGTGTAGCCTGTTATTTATTTTAACCCAGGTTTTTGATACATTGGTAGAAGTAAAAATGAATACTAACAAAACTTGTTCATATCTAAGTTGCTGTGCTGTGATTTTAATATCCCTACTTTAATATGCCTATTATTGAAGCTGATTTAATCCAATTAAGATACTTTATTAATTAGTTTTCACACCAGACATATTAACACATCATAAGATAAAAGCACAGGTCTGAATGATAACACAAATGGTGGCAACTGAGACACCTACCAAATTGAAGCGACCATTAATTAGTTAATCAATAACACTTCTTCCTCCTATGACAAGTCAAGAACAGTAGTGTGTGTCTTTGGGAGAAACAAAGTCATATCAAGCCATACATCTGGGCAGCTTAATTTATGCAGTATATATTCTAAACATATCGTATTGTATGCTTTGTGCTTAAAATGCTAATTTGCAAGGTAACTATAGCTGTAAAATAAAAGTAGTGTATTTAAAAATACAATATTCCCTCTGAATTGCAGTAGAAGAATAGAGATGAATAAAAGGATAAAGCGTGTACTGTAATGAAATGCACAGCAATTTACCACGTACTGTATCACAGAGATTTTACTTTGTTGTGACATTATATGGTTGATTGTTATTAATAATGTTTCTTGTTCAAACAAATGTTACAGTAATTTACACAAATATTTACATCTAAGATAGCCTTTCCCTTTGCGCCACACCAAGCAAACCGTCTTACAATTCCGTCATGTGTCACTCCATGCTGACTATTATTTGGAGCACAGTAATTTAAGATTCTGCTGGAAATTATTCACTAGACTTGGAAACTGGCTGAGTCTTTGAATTATGGCTGTAAAAAAGACTGTTCTATTTAGCCTCTTTGATTTAGTTCCCCTTTAATTCAGTTATGCATGTAGTTATCGTTCTGGCCAGTAGGTAGAGATCTGGAGCTATCTTCTGTATATCTAATACCTTTCAAGAGCTACTGGAATCTACCACACGATCGCTACATGGAGCAGGCTATGATAAGTCTCCCACTGCTACCGACTATCGCAATGCAGAGTTAATCCTTCTCAGACGTGCACAGAAGGAGCGCTTCCCTGAAGAGGTAGCACAACTCCAATCGAGTAAGACTCTCCCATCTAACAGTAGAGTGCTCACATTAGCCCCTGAATTTGATACCACTTCAGGTCTGATCCGAGTGGGAGGCAGGCTTCGTAGATGTCACAGTCTGAATCCAGATGTTCTGCATCCTATCCTTCTCCTCTCATCCAATATCCAAGCTCCTGATACAGCATTATGACTCTCAGCTTCACCACCCTGGAACAGAGCGTGTATTTGCAGAGCTGCGCCAGAACTATTGGCTCCTGAGAGGCAGGGAAGCAATCAAGAAGCATCAGCATAATTGTGTGGATTGTAGGAAATGGAGAGGAAGTCCTCAAGTACCAAAAATGGCGGATCTACCCCCCTCCAGTTTATGGCATATCCAACCTGCCTTTTATTCGACAGGGGTTGATTGTTTTGGCCCTATGCTCGTGAAAGTTGGACGACACACAGAGAAAATATGGGGCATTCTGTACAAATGTCTCACCACTCGAGCTGCCCACTTAGACCTCCTACCAAACATGGATACTGACTCATTTCTAATGTCACTTAGGCGCTTTATTGTGCAAAGAGGAAAGCCCCACGAACTCCTGTCTGATCAAGGCACTAATTTCAAAGGAGGAAGTAAGGAGCTGCATGAATCTTTCCGTGCCCTAGAACCATCAGTCAAGAACCAACTTGCTGCTCAACAGATCAGCTTCCGTTTTAATCCCCCCAATGCTCCACATTTCGGTGGATCATGGGAAAGAGAAGTGAGATCTGTAAAAAATGCCCTCCGCACCACACTAGGAGCTCAAACAGTACCAGAGGAAGTATTAAGGACAGTACTTATCGAAATAGAAGGCATCCTCAACTCCAGACCACTGGGCTATGTCTCTTCTGATCCTGCTGACCCAGATCCAGTTACACCCAACTGCTTGTTGATGGGGCGGCCTGACTCTTCCCTTCCACAAGTGATTTACCCTGAGTCAGAACTGTTGAGTTGTAAAAGATGGCGTCATTCCCAAGTTTTAGCAGATCACTTCTGGAAACACTACATCCGGCACTTTCTTCCTACATTCCAAGCCCGGCAGAAATGGCAGACAGAGAAGGATGATATTTCTGTGGAAACTGTGGTGTTGGTTGTTGATCCCCAAACACCAAGAGCCCTTTGGCAAGTAGGGACTGTCAAGACTGTCATACCTGGAGCAGACGGACATGTGAAGACAGCTGTTATTCAAGTGAAAGACAGGACCTACACTCGCCCAGTTGTCTGCCTCATCAAGCTGCCAACTTTGCCTGAGGACAATAGTCATCAAATTTGCTTAACAAATTTGGAGGCGGCTGTAAAAAAGACTGTTCTATTTAGCCTCTTTGATTTAGTTCCCCTTTAATTCAGTTATGCATGTAGTTATCATTCTGGCCAGTAGGTAGAGATCTGGAGCTATCTTCTGTATATCACTGCAGAAATTCACCATGGGATACATGTTTGCATGACACGAACATCGTGAAATAATCACCAGTGTGTGTCTATTAATAAAAACCACATGCATACCTCCAATATACATGTTCACTGTTGATTCATGCAAGAATTAAAATGAAGATAAAGTAATCCCTGGATTTGGACATTCAATCTCTACCTCAACTCACCTGTGCAAAATTGATGTTCTGACCCGACACCCTGAAGTGATAGCCTATACCCACCAGTTACAGTCCTCAGTACAATGTCACTATAATTTCATTCATTCATTAATTCATTTTCTACCGCTTAGTCCCTGAACGGGGTCACGGAGGGGGAGCCAATCCCGGCCGGCAATCGGGCGAACGCGGGATACACCCTGGACAGGTCGCCAGTCCATCACAGGACTATAATTTCATTCATGCAGTATTTTCATGTAGTGTGAATGCATGAGGATGACTATTATACCTCAAGGTCTAACTGTTATGGTTGCTACTCTCTCACCAAATGGTGAGAGAGGGCAAAAAAAATAGACTGGACCCAGAGAGCAAGGTATTGACACAGATCAGATGGTTTATTACAGTCCACAGTATCAATTGAAGGGGAAATGGGAGGACGAGGTGTCTGCTGTGACCCAGGCTGATGAAGGTAGATGGTAGAGGAGGAGGGATGGAGGCCCAATCACTCATACTGGTCGTAACCCTGGCAGTGGAGGTAGAATGACCAGCATCTTGTTCCTGGGAGAACACAAGGCAGAGGGAGAGTGAGCAGAGTGGGGGTTAGACTCACACAGTGCAGGGTAGGCTGGAGTTGCAGCTGAGGTGTGGCTGGAGAGCTGGAGCACAGGTGGGTAATAGCTGAAAGCCGAGTTGACAAGAGGGCTATGGCAGAGGCTGAGCTGGAGCAGCCAATGAAGGAACAGTTCAAGTATGATGCCGGAAACAGAGAGCGCTACGGAGGTAGCGTAGCTGGGAGGCTCCAGCTAGTAGAGCGGCGATCGTCATAGGGTAGGTATGAGTAACAGAAGACAGTAGCTTCTTCTGCGGCCAAGCTTCGTGGTAGGGTCGAAAAACAAACTGCCGATGACAGCGCATCTGAGCCGCTCCTAAATACCCAGCCCAGTAATCAGCTGATGTAAATCAACTGTGAGCTCCACTGGGAGTGTGTCTGAAGAGAGAGAGAGAGGGAGACGAGAGTGGGAGGGGCAGGTGGTGAAGAGCAAATCTTACAGGACCTCGAAGGGGGACAGTCCAGAGGCTGAACAGGTGAGTGAGTTGTGGGTGTATTCTATCCATGGTGAGAGTGCTCCACGAACTGGGCTTAGTTCCTGTGATGCAGTGGAGCGCAATCTCTAGCTCTTGATTGAGCCTCTCCACCTGCCCGTTTGTGTGTGGGTGAAACCTAGAAGATAAGCTGGATTTTTCCCAAATATCATAACAGAAGGGTGACCATACCTGAGATATGAACTGTGGTCCATGATCAGAGATGATGTCAGATGGAATGCCATGGAGGCAGAACACATGTCAGACCAGGAGCTCAGCGGGTTCATGGGCTGAGGGTAGTTGATGCAGGGCGACAAAGTGGGCAGCTTTGGAAAACCAGTTTATGATAGTGAGGATGACGGTGTGACCATGAGACGGAGGTAGTCCTGTTACAAAATCAACTGCAATATGGGACCAAGGGCGGCTAGGTATAGGCAAAGAACGCAACAGGCCAGCAGGTCGCTGGTGGGAGGACTTGGATTGGGCACATACAGTACAAGCTTGGACGTATTCTCTGGTGTTTTTGTCTAAGGTGGGCCACCAGAAGTGTTGTTTAAGTAGTGATGTGGTGCGGTGAATTCCTGGGTGGCATGCAAGACAAGAGGAATGTGCCCACTGTAGGACCTGGGATCGGACTGGATCAGGTACAAAAAGCCAGTCCGGTGGTCCCTCTCCTGGGTCTGTTGAGCTGTTCTGATGGTTTCGTCTATCTTCCACGTAACTGAAGCAATGATGCAGGATGATGGTAAGATGGTGTCTGGGGTTTCTGTGTCAATGGGGCGACTGAATTGATGGGAGAGAGCATCTGGCTTCTTGTTACATGCTCTGGGGCGATAAGTGAGGGTAAACCAGAACCGGCCAAAAAAGAGCCCAGCGTGCTTGCCTTAGGTTGAGTTTCTAGCAGACTGAAGGTAGGCTAGGTTTTTATGATCTGTCCAGACTACAAAAGGTAGCTCCACACCCTCCAGTAGATGGCGCCATTCCTCCAAGGCAAGCTTCACAGTCCGGAGCTCTCGATTGCCCACGTCATAGCTTCATTCAGCTG